TATATATATATATATATATATATATATATATATCCTAGTTTGGTAATAAACTGCAGTAGGCACCCACTGGGATTAGAATTCAGGACTTTCCGGTTGTGAGACCTGGCCACTGAGAGTGGAAGACATGAAAAGACTAGCTGTCTTTGATCATAGGTGCCTGTGCTCTATTTCCCGTGTAAAGTGGCATAATAAGGTGAGCAACATTGAAGTTAGGCGTAGAGTTCTAGGTAAACAGGGAAATCAATCGACGAAGTTGTGAAGTTACAAAGACTGAGATGGTTAGGACATGTGTTACGTATGCATGCCTAGTCATCGCCTCCCTCGACGAGCTATGTTAGCGGATATAGGGTCAGGCTGGAAAAAAGCTAGCGGCGGTCAAACAAAACTTGGCCTCACCAGTCAATGAAATCCACAACAGTTGGTCTAAGCCACGTAGGAAGGTGTAGACTTCCTGACTGACTGGTTGGGGTCCTCAGGACGGTAAAAATCTATGGTTGGAAACAATCGGTTACATGGCTCAAAATCGTTCTCCTTGTGACCTATGATCTCCACCAATGAAACTGTTTTGTTCTTCGTTATTACTCCTCCTTTGTCTCACACCTCTGCTCACTGTTTCTATTATGCTTTTCTTGTACTTTCTTCTCTTGCTTCGCGTGCTACACGGAATGTGGCGACTTGAACTTCCGCACATTTGTGCAAAGTTCTATGTCGAAAACAGACAGACAGACAGACATTAAGAAATTGAACTAATATGTTCAAAAATAGTTTGTCATATACAAAATGAAAAGACTGTTTCAATTTTTATCATGTCAACTAAGAGACATTCAATGACAAAAGAAGACAAAACCGATATCGTCTACAAGATAAATTGCAGCAACTGTAGAAAATATTATATTGGTTAAAGTGTACGTTCACTTCTTCTACTCATGAACGTACATAAACTGGCTGTCAGATGACAATACATCAATTGCCTCAAATTGATTTACATCCACAAGATCACCGACACCGATTCAACAGGTAAAATTATGAAAATCTTGGACAGAGGAAATACCACGAATGCCATTGAATTGCTAGAAGCTTGTTATGCTTATGATTCTAACAAAAATCAACAAACATACTGATTTAGATCAGATATTTCGATCAATAAAAAGGGAGTCATGTGGGCAATAGGTCAATCTTCAGGTCAACAAAGTAATCATCAAGTGGTCGCTACGGTAATAAAATCTCCCGAAATAACCGACCACTTCCACGGTGAACAGGATAGATATAACTGATTAACTCGTTGGGGAATTCTAAGCACTCAATTCATGTTGAATCCAGCACTGGAAATGCTGTCTTGAAGGATAAACTGAACTATCCAGCCCACAGGACATAAGTTAATCAAAAGCGCCCCTAACTGATCTACAAATCTTTTCTATCACATTTGATTAAAGCCTTCCATGACACCATTTCTCGAAAAAAGAATGGCAATTTTTGTATACTACTTGAAATGACTGTTAGTAAGCACAAGTTAACATTAAAATTTTCCAAGAACTTTTCATTTCATGGATAGTAAATAGTGCAGTTATCATATCCTTATAGCTGCTTATGAATTAACTGAAACAGACCTTACCATCAAATCATGTCGATATTGTATTATTTAATCCATGTGTTCCTATCTTAATACAGGAAGGACTTCAGTAGAATATTTCTGACATCACGGTCAACTAGCTTTACGATTGCCGACATGCGCTTATTTCCTATTCGTTTAAATCTCCAGCATGATCCACTCACGTCAACGGCCAACTTGTTGATTCTCAATCAGATTCCACTGGTGTGCCTGGCTGACATATGATGTCACCTTAATGTATACGTAAAGTTAAAGAAAAGAAACCAAACAGGCGCGAATGCATTATTCACTTTGGGACATTAAGACAGATGCAAAAATAGTAAACATTGGAGAAAGATTAGGCTTAGACGAAGGGACAGATTACAGTGAGTCTGTAGAGATATTAAGGATGGTCAGGTTAAGGTCTGTTATGTACTCGTCGCCAAATTATTGTTATGTACTGGTCGAGAATTTAATAGTTCTGACGCAAGAAAGACGGAAATCAGAAGACCACTAGGTTTGCGATGATACTTCTATTTTCCAAAAACACCAGGAGAATCAATCTGTCACACAAGAGTGTGAGAGCAAAAATATGAATGTCCGAACAAGTGTGTGAACACAAGTGTGTGGGCGAATATTCAAAATGAACAAATCAATAGACAGTCTTAACATGATTGGCTAATTATAATGGAATATCTATCCATATATATATAGCAAAGTATATCAGGCTGTCAAAAAAAACACACATATTATATGGATACATATCACCTCTCCTTTTGAGAAGATTGATGATTAGTAGGGTGTTTTCTTGGGGGTTTATCTGGAACCGTTGAACTTGTTGTTGACATCTGTCTGTTGGGTTCGCGGCTTCGGCTTCGTCCGGAATTGTCTGACGTTTTATGTTTCTTGGCTGCATTGCATAGAGAATTTAGTGGGACATCAGCCAGATGCAAACGATCGAACCAATCAAGTCCCAAAAGATTTAAATCCCTCTTGGTGACGTAACAAATTCCTGTGAATTTGATATTGCGGAAGGAAACAGAACATTTGAGTTCACCAATTAGTTTGAGGCGCCCACCACAGGCGCTGACAAGAGTCTGGGAAGTATTTGTGATAGGTGGTCTGCCAATATCATTCCAAAGTTTCTCTGATATAACAGTAATATCGGAGGCGGTATCTAGCTGCAGACGTGTATCATGACCATTCATCTAAAGATCAAGATATTTCCGCATACCTGGTGTTGTGACTTGACAGGTTGCGAGTAGACTCATTGACATTTTTGGGGATTTAGGACCAACAGTTTTTCGAGCTTTCGCTGGATTATGACATCTGGGTTTGCGTGGCTGACAAAAACCATTTTTATGACCGATGATTTTGCACTTGCTGCAACGATGATACTTCTATTTTCCAAAAACACCAGGAGAATCAATCTGTCACACAAGAGTGTGAGAGCAAAAATATGAATGTCCGAACAAGTGTGTGAACACAAGTGTGTGGGCGAATATTCAAAATGAACAAATCAATAGACAGTCTTAACATGATTGGCTAATTATAATGGAATATCTATCCATATATACATAGCAAAATATATCAGACTGTCAAACAAACACACAATTTATATGGATACATGTCACCAAGAACAGACTGTCAAACAAACACACATATTATATGGATATATATATCAAGGTCGACGTAAGGAAATATCAAGGCTTTTTATCACGATTGTTTGTAACTAGGTCATGGGTACGTTCGCGATTGTTGGGTGGTTTCTGTCCCTTGAAGTTTGTCCCTGTATATTTGTTGAACGACTGGGGTGTTCTTGGCTCATTCGCTCACAGAATGACAGAGCTGTTGATGAAAGTCTGTAATAGCCTGCTGGAAATATTTTTGATGATGTGTGAGCCAAGTCTCCGAAAGATATACGAGCAATGAATATCTTGATATTAGTATTAAAAATCTGGGTCTCCACAATGATTTTAGAGTATGCAGTCACTGCTTCAATCCCTACTAGAGTTTCAAGTGAGCACTGATGAAGTGCCTCGAACTAGGATGAAACAACCAAAATCTGAAATTTAATTCAAATGTTGGAAATACACTATGGATAACCATTGAAAACCATCAGGCAGTACTGGTTATATGCTTCATCCAAATGCTTGTGAATCTTCAGCTGAAAGCATCTGACGCGGTTCGAACGCAGAAAAGCTTCTGGTTAAAAATCAACCTCTTAGACAATTCAGTAACTTGGACCAGATCGACTTGTCAATCCACGAATTCTAACTTCTATCAATTCGTGATTTTAGAGCGAATAACAGCCAGTGTGATAGGTGAGTGAAATCTTCACACCCTCGACCTGGTTTCTCTCTCCCCCTCCCTGACCATGACTTCTGACAGCATAGAACTCCCGTCAACTTCGTCCTGTAGCCAGTTACTGGTTAGCATCTGATTAATTTTCATGCGCTAATCAAATCCCTAAAAAATGAACAACCATCCTGTACTCCCTGGTGGTTTTCGATGGTTCTCGAATTGACATCACTTGATGATCAAACTTTAAGCAAATCAAAGTCCTACGAACCCTTCTAGGCTGGATGTACAGTTTCGTCCTAGTTTGGTACTCTGCACAACACGCACCCATGACACTACCAGGATTCAGACCTAAATCCATCAGCTAACGAGGTCATAATCCAAATGTCAATCACTAGGTCATTATTATTAGACCACAGGATGGATATTCTGAAGCTTTAATGAGGAGTTGTGATTGGTTAAGTCGACTGTGTCAGCTTGAAACGCATGTTTATCGATGGCATTTGTCGGCTGTAACTTTACATAGCCAATTGACAGAGGTTAGAATTTACGAGACATTGAACTCCAACCGCCCCACCCCCAGTGGAGATGGAACGCAGGCACCTATGATCAAAGATAGCTAATATTTTCATGGCTTCCACTCTCAATCGCCAGGTATAACAGCCATAATGGAGGACGGAGCGGACTGATGAGCAGTACACCCACCCTTCCGTCGATAGCCGGATATCACGTCCACACCAGAGACGGTGTAAACTGGTATATGCGAAACTGGGCCTCAGTATCCGTACTGAGATTTCGTCAGAGATCAACCCGTTGGGACTGGCTGATACAACTTCCCAAGTAAGTGAAGCGGTCAACGTGCTCTACCACTTCACTCCCTATTTCTAAACTAGGAGTCGGTGTAGTCCAGTCCTGTAGCGTCATCATCTTACATTTGGTGGGAGCGAATCGCATGCCAAACATTCGTAGATTGCAACTCAAGGTGTTCAAAAGACTCTGCATTTTGTCACCGTCCTCGCCTAGAAGGATATATTCTAAGTCAACGAGATTATTCATACCCTGGTATCAAGTCAATCCCTGAGTCTCTGAAGTCACTTAGGGTCAACTCCATTAGTACATCTATGATGAAATTAAACAGAAACGGGGATAATGGGTATCCCTGACGGACACCACTAGTCGTCACCACTTCAGATGACAACTCGCCGTAAGCCCTCACCTGGTCGTACGAGTTCGAGTAGATCCGCGTTGGATACCTCCCGGCTTCTAAGACACTCCTTAACTTCACTTAGCCTGTAGTAGTAAGCCAGGTTTAGTGGAAGCTTGGGCATGAGGCTCACTACCGATATCACAGCTTCAAAGCTCAAAAACTTCAAGTCCTCTATATTCTTCATCAGAAGTAGTAATACACCAGGTCGGTTGTGAAGACTAATACTCATCGATGATAATGATTAGATAGTCACGCTATTATTTTTTCCTAATTGGTACAAGTTGAAATTCATCAAACTCTGTTCATTGGATCAGCGCTTCCAGTGGTTGAATGGTCTATACCAGCTCGCCTTATTATAATCACGTCCTGGGGTTAGAATTGCGGCTGCTGCTGAGGAGTCCCATGCACCATGACGACGAAACAGCTTTCCAAGTAATCCCTATTAGTTTCCAGTAGTTCGCTAACTGATATCTATCCTTGAAAATCAATTTACTCCTTAGATGAACACCTACCATCAAGAATGGTGATACAATAATCTATGTCCTGTTTATTTCTCTCACGTAGAAGGATAACGTGACGACAAAGACGAATCAAGAATACTCACTCTTGAAATGTAACAGAGATATGCAAATTAGAACTACCACAAAAGTTTTAAAATGTTTTATAGATATTTACAAATTAAGCAAGTAGTTAATGAATAACAATAACGTTTATTACTTCAACAGGTGTATTGTATTTATTTCTGTAGGAGTGCTACTCAAATGATGAAGACAAACACACACACACATACACACACAGCGAGTGCACACAAAGAAGGATTTCGTGAATATATATGGGTGTATGTATGGGTGTGTGTGCGTGTGTGCGCGCGCGCGCGCTTTGAAGTGAAACAAATAAATATCCTGTTTAAAATTTGAATTCTTTATATTTCTTAGATGCTGAAGTACCAGATGAATCGGAGATAATCCCGCCAGCGATACTACCTCCACCAGATTTAACACCACTACTTTGTTGAGACTCTGTACCTGATATACGCTTACGTAGCATAAGTTCTCGTGGATCTTCAGCCTAGACAGGGAAAAATGCAAAAGGAATTTGTATGAATTAAATAAGTGGAACGGTAATTAAAATACGGGAAATCCATTTGTAAACAAACCTTGATCTGTAAAAGATAAATGACACCAGAGAAGTATGATAAAATTGCCTACTACTTCTACTACTACTACTACTAACGACAATGATATTGGTTACAGGATTTCATCATGAGTTGATATTGGTTAGAGAACCATCGGAAAACCAGTTGGGAGTATTGGACAGCTGTTTCGTCCTAGTTTGAGACTCTTCATCAGTACGCACCCACCGGGATTCGAACCAAGGACTTTCCGGTTACAAGGCGAGCTCGTAGACCGTTAAGCGTCTGTCTGTCTGGATTCAACAGAGAACTTGGCACCGAAGTGCACCAGTTCGAGTTGCCACGTTCAAATAGCACACATACAAAGGTAGACAAGAAGATGAGTGAAGAGAATCAATACAGTCTGACAAATATAAGAGTGAAACAGAATGGGTAATTGTAGAAAGGAATATGAAAGATTACAGAGACTGAATACATCTTCGCTGGCCATTGACAACGATTTTGAGCCATGTCACCTATTGTCTACAGTCATTGATTCCTAGAGTCCCGAGGGCCCCAACCCGGAAGTCTGCATCTCCCTCCCTACCTGACTCAGTTTCACTGTCAAGGATTTCATGGATTGATTCCATGTTTTTGTTTGGCCACCACTTACTCTTTTCCAACCTGCACCTATATCAGCTAGCAATGCCCGTCGGGGGAGGAGATGGTTAGACATGGGCAGCACGTGACCGACCTAGCCATCTCAATCTATGTAACTGTATAGCCTCGTCGATTGATTTTCCCTCTTTGCCCAACACTCTACGCCTAACGTCAACATTACCTACCTTATTATACCACCTAACGTGAGACAGAGATCGCAGACATCTATGATCGAAAGCAGTCAACCTTTTCATGTCTTCAACTCGTATTGGCCATGTTTCAGAGCCATAGACAAGGACGGGAGCGAACTGCTGAGCAGTACACACGTCCCTTGGTTGATAACCGGATGTCACGGCTACGCCAGAGATGATGTAAGTCAGCGAAAGCAGCTCGAGCTTTTCGGACCATTAAGCGTACTGTTGAAGAATTCCAAACTAGGACGAAACAGCTGTCCAGTACTCCCAGTTGGTTTTCCAACGGTTCTCTAACCAATGTCAACTCATGTTGAAATCCTGTAACCAATCAACCAAATCTCTACAAACCAATACATGAATAACAATGATATTCCTGATCTTGTGGTTGGAATGGATGGATTGTACAATAGACTGTGATACGCGAGAATGACTTAAGTTTTCATTGTAGGTGAAACTCAAAGGTTTACCAGGGGAAACCAACAAGTTGGCAGAAGAAGAAGCAGTCGGAGAAGACAGCACAGGAATTCACGTGAACTTTAGGGAGAAGATGGAGGTGAAGAAAATACCCAATCAATAATGATTGCCACGTATTCAACCTTCAGCTAATGGGCGGCGCCAGGTTAAAAGCCCACATCTCAATTATTTCAAAACACCACCAAGTGAGTGCTTCAACAATCTGGGAAATACCAGTGCTCGCCAATCCTCGACACTTCAAATTGCGTATATCATTTTGAGTGTGTTTGTGGGAGCAGCAAATACATAGGTCGTACGGAAAGGCGATTGTCTACTCGTCGCATGATGGAGCATTTGCCAAAATGGTTGAAAACAGCTGAATTCAAAGTGTCAAAATCCTCAATAACAAAACATCTTGTAGATTACGGACATGATATCGATGCGGTCAAGTCATTCACCATTGTCAGCAAACAAAGAAACAAGAAGATGCTTGCAATTGCCGAGGAGGCTTGTGCAATTCGAATTTATAAACCAGCTCTCTGTATACAAAACGAGATGGTCGTTATTATTCTTTACTTATTACTACTATTATTCTACCTCTTATTATTATTATTCTTGATTCATCTAAAACTACGCTTTATCAGTAAGATTATCTTAACTCACTTCAACACTATTAAAACTGTTATTATAACTATTACTATTGATATTAGTCTGTTTACAATTCTCGTTATATTCCCTAATGACTAATTGTTTATCTAAGTGATGTAATTGAAGCGTAATACAATTTATCTTAATTTCGATCTCTCATACGCTCTCTCGCCTTGTCTATTTGAACACGGCCTGGAAAACATTCGAACCTGTCTTTCTGCATGATTAATTCAATGTAGTTTGTTTACTTATCAGTTTTATATTTCCCAATGTAATTTCAAAAGTATATATATCCGTGTATGTAGAGTATTCAGCTGAGGAGGAGTTCTACCGAAATTTGATGAATCCATCATTAAATCATCCTGCTTTATTGCTTGTTTTAAATTCGTATCGGGAAATAAATGTTTTCAATTATTATTTCAGTTTAGGCAACTATTAGCATTGACACAATTAACTGCAGCTCTCATAGGCTGATAGATGAGAAATATCTTCGAGGTATTTGAATTTCAGAATAAGAAGACTTCTTTCAATTGACAAGATGAAAATATGACAAAGAGTTGAGATAAGACATAAGATATATTACCACATGCCATATAATATCAAGTGATCCGCGCAACGGAGAACTCAGTGAAGCCTACTATCACTGATGAAATTTCTCACTGTGTTGGACTGGATTATACAAGAACATAGTAAGTGGAGAGAGAGAGAGAGAGAAAGAGAAGACAGGAATACGTCGAACCGATAAGAAGACTCTACAAGATCTCGACTTCAAGGGCGATTTGTGTCCAGTGTCATAAACTTGAAGGCTTACAGGAGAGAAAACCAACAAATTGACTGAAGAAGACGGATGTGACGAAGACGACAACCAACCGACCAACACCAAACAAACACCATCAATGGAAGAAATTTGTGAGATCACTTCTTTCACTTATCATCGTGTTTCAACTACAGGCGGCGACAGCACGAATGAAAGTATCAAAACACGGCTGGATCGAAAAGGCAAAGAAGACAGTCATCACTCTGATGCCAGTTCAGAAATCTCCTTCACTCAGCATATGAAGAACAAAAATCCGGATTTTCAACATCAACCAGTGTCAGCGCTTCAATGTAGGTTAACAACAACTTGGCGCGTCACCAAAAGCATTCCTATAGTAGGCGACAACAGACTTTCACCAACAGCTGTCTTCACTGGCTCAATACTGAAGATCGAATGAATGATCCGAAAGAGTTAACCAACAAGGAACTCTGCGAACGAACCGACCAAGAACCCATCATCCCAAAGAAAAAGTTTAGAAGGAAATGGAGATAGATAAGACGCAGTCAATACAGGCCATCATTACATTGGAACCCGAACGGGAAACGAGTTAGGTATGCATCCGACGGTGACACGAAGATCTTAAAAGAGGGGAGATAGGGGTTTATGGTCAATTGTGGAACTAGCTAAACAGAAGTGCAGAAAACACGATGAAAAGAAAATGTGCTGTTGAAGCCTTATGTCGTCTCACTCGGAACCCAAAGGAAACAATAATAATAAAAATAATACACACTTAAAACATACAAATTATTCCATAACAACAATAGACTTACTTCAATTCCACGTGGAGCTCCAGTAACCCCGGCAACATCATATAATTTAGTACTACCCATAAGTGCATTCGGTTGTAGATTAGTTTCAGTTTCTGGTAGGATACGATATAATTGTGTAGATGGTGTCACCAAGCCAGTACTATCCTCCATTGCTTCTTCTATAGTCTTCTTACGTAATTCAATCATACTTTGTGGTGTCTCCAAGCCAGCACCAACACTGGACACACCACTAGGTGTTATCAATCTAGAGAGAGAGAGAGAGAATAAAGATAAAGACAATGTGTTACTGAATATCTCTCATAATGATTTAGGAAAAGGACAGACAAAAACAATCCACAGCTCAATTCTGTCACATTTAATTGATAGTGGTCATTTAGCGGAGAAAACGAAAGCATCCAAGGTGATGATTCATGACATCACACCGAATCTTCCCAGTGGACTTCGTATTCGTCTACTGCGCATAGCCAAGGTGATAGACATTCGACCTATTAAACCTAAATTATGCATTCAAAAGAGGTTCATACAGCCATTATCCCTCTCTTATTGGCCTATTAAGACCAAACTAACTGATGACATCACCACCACCACTCCTTAGGTACATTTTCAACCCCAATCTCTTATATGATCTCTTAGTTTTTTTTTTATCACATCTTCACATTATAACATATTTTATTTACTTCCCTTACAATCAGTCCAGCATTACTTAATCAGTTCATTTGTTTTACTCAACCTTTATCGATTATTACGTCTACCAGAACATTTGTTCGTTTATTCATGCTATTTTTCATCATTCTTGTTAACACAGATCGCTCTACTTTCTCATCTATGATACTGACTGATTACGAAATTTGTGTAAATTTGTGTATACCAGAGTTAGGCCTGATGAGACCTGAATGAAAGCACAATATCCGTTCGCTTAAATGTCTTGTTCAAAACATTGATTGCTGATAATGTTTTACAACAGACAATACAATCAAGATATTGTCTGTCTGTTTTCGACATTAGAACTTTGCGCCAATGTGTGGCAGTTCACGTCTCCACACTCCATGTAGCACACAAAGTAAGAGAAGAAAGGCATAATAAACGCAGTACACAGAGGTGTAAGACAAAGGAATAGTAGTAACGAAGAACAAAACAGTTTCATTGGAAATCATAAGTCACAAGGAGTGAATGCATTTGCATCAGTCGTCATCGAGAACGATCACTTTGAGACATATCACTAATTGTTTCCAGCCATTGGTTTTTACCGTCCTGAGGACCCCAACCAGTTAGGAAGTCTACACCTTCCTACGTGGATTAGACTAACTGTTGTGGATTTCATTGACTGGTGAGGCCATGTTTTGGTTTGACAGCCGATAGCTCATTTCCAGCCTGACCCTAAGTCAGCTAACATTCTGTCGGTCGAGGAAGGCGGTGACTAGGCATACGTAACACGTGTCCTAACCACCTCAGTCGATGTAATTGCACAGCATCGTCGATTGATTTCCCCTCCTTACCTAGCACTCGAGTAAAGCCTGACCTCAATATCGCTCACCTCGTTATACCACTTTAGACGGGAGATAGAACGCAGGCATCTATGATCAAAGATAGCTAATATTTTCATGGCTTCCACTCTCAATCGCCAGGTATAACAGCCATAATGGAGGACGGAGCGGACTGATGAGCAGTACACCCACCCTTCCGTCGATAGCCGGATATCACGTCCACACCAGAGACGGTGTAAACTGGAACATGCGAAACTAGGCCTCAGTATCCGTACTGAGATTTCGTCAGAGATCAACCCGTTGGGACTGGCTGATACAACTTCCCAAATAAGTGAAGCGGTCAACGTGCTCTACCACTTCACTTCCTATTTCTAAACTAGGAGTCGATGTAGTCCAGTCCTGTAGCGTCATCATCTTGCATTTGGTGGGAGCGAATCGCATGCCAAACATTCGTAGATTGCAACTCAAGGTGTTCAAAAGACTCTGCATTTTGTCACCGTCCTCGCCTAGAAGGACATATTCTGAGTCAACGGGATTATTCATACCATGGTAGCAAGTCAATCCCTGAGTCTCTGAAGTCACTTAGGGTTAACTCCATTAGTACATCTATGATGAAATTGAACAGAAATGGGGATAATGGGCATCCCTGACGGACACCACTAGTCGTCACCACTTCAGATGACAACTCGCCGTAAGCCCTCATCTGGCTGCATGAGTACGAGTAGAGTGCCTTGATCAATGCAATGTATTTCCTCGGGATTTACTTCCTTATCAAGCATCGCCAGAGAAACTCTCAGTTGACAGAATCGAATGCCGTCTTTATGTAGAGGAATATAGTGATTGTTGGGCGCCGGTAGGAATGCCTATGTTCTAGAATCTGTCGGAGGATGAAGATATGATCAATATAATACCCTCTTCCTGGTCTAAAGCCTGCCTGGCTCTCTCGTGTTTGTGCCTCCCGAGCACCACTTAGTCTACGCATGATTATTGAGCCCAAGACTTTAGATACAATATTAGTCAAGCTAATCCCTCTGTGATTATCACAGGAAGACTTGTCTCCCTTCTTGTATATGGGGATAATCAGTGACTTACACCAACCCGGTGGGACTTCTTCTGATTCCCAGACGCTGCTTAGAACCTCAGTTAATGCAGACAGTAAACTGTCTCCACCGTACTTAAATACCTCTGGAGTCATTCCATCAGGTCCCGCTGCTCTGTCTTGTTTCAGATTAGTGACAGCTTTAGTAACCTCAATTAAGGAAGGAGGACCTGTGTCTATATCCCCTTCAGGGAGGTGTTGGATGTTCGGCAGGCTGAGCGTGGCTGTGAGCCAATTGAACTGCTCCTCATAGTGCTCATTCCAGTGTTCCAGTCGTCTATCCTGGGAGCTAATTATGGTGTTATTTTTCTCCGAGATCGTTTCGCTTATCATTTGCCTTTTGCCACCTGTTTCCCTGATAAGCCTAAATAGTTGTCTGGTGTCGCCAATCGCCGATGCCTTTTCCATCTCTTTAGCTTTTATCACCCACCACTGTTCAACGGTTGTTGCGAAGACTTTTTGTAAATGTTCCTTTGAGTACCTTTCGCTCCTCATCATAATCGGAGCTCGCTGGAATCAGTTTTCTTGCGTCAATCAGTTCGGATGAAGCAGTGAAGATCCAATGGCTTTTACTAACTTTAGGTTTTAGCTTATTAACAGCTTTCACAGATGTGTCAGGCTACCTCAGGGGAAGTCCTGCTGTCGACCTCAGAAACTCGTTTCGCTATTTTTTTTCCTTAAATATGAACTCAGTGTCTCGATCTAGTTGAGGACGTAACTGTTTCGCTGCCGTCAATTTCTTATGTCCAACAAAGATATTATCTCGTGACGAGAAAAAAATCTAACAACTGGAATTAACCCAGATCCTTACAAAAACGCGTAATCTAAATATAAATCTTCATCTTATCCATGGCTATTAGATGGATTGCCTGAGGCTGTACTGAAAAGTCGTGTATGACCAGTTGGGTCCATTACCACGTCACAATGAAGTAGACGCTCGTTGAGAGGGCGGTAGTGCTATATATCATGAATTGACAAGGTCAGTGAATTCTGACTCAAGTAGACGAATAATTTAACATATTGGTCTCGGGTCCTGGGTTCGACCTCTAGTTGCAGTACTAGAATGCTTTTTGTCTGATTTTCCTAAGAAACCTCACCTGTCCCTCTGAAGTGATAGATGTCCCTTTATATCCACTATCGAAGTGTGAAGCTTAAAGTCGGCAGGATATCCTGATAATCGCCTGCCATCTCACTTTACATCGATCAAAATGAACTGTGGTAATTGATGATTTTTCTCTAACTAGGTGCTCACATTTTTAGAATTCATCAATAGAATAAGGATTTTGAAATAGGCACTACTACTACTACTCTAGGATAAATTTTCAAAAATACTCAAAGTAAACGGAACTTATCAATCATTAATTGCACATTAAGTGTGCAACTTTTAACGACAGACTGAAAAGCAGAATTATCATGGGCTCACTTCTTGACCCACTACTACTTCTTTATCGCCAGTCTGCAAAATGGAATCTTCAAATCAACAATCAACAAATTACTGCTGTACAAAAGTTTTGTCGACGACCCTTTTATAGTCCTTCAGAATGATTATGCTTTAAATTGTACCTTACAAGAATTTAATAATTGCCATTCTTCAGCTAAATTCACAATGGAATTAAAAAATGAATCGAAGAAGAATCTCCAGTGTTGACTGTTTAGAGGAAGAGCTTTTATTTTTCAAAAATATTCTGGCGCGAAATTGATACTCGGAATTTTTTGTGGCTAAGAATATGAAATCAAAGCCAAAAAGACAAGAATCTAGTGCAGTACCAAAGAAAATACTGAATATGAATCTGGACATCAGGAGAGACTTGGTGGCAGATATCCTAAAGATGTGAATCTCCAGTTCCCTAAAGAAGACGTTTACTGCAGCAACACTAAGAGTGATATATTCTCTAGGCACCTACTGCTTTAAAGCAATGTGAAGGATAAACTCCCGTATATGACCACTTCAATGCGCATATATCAATTCACCTGCTCATGAGGAGCTAGATACATAAGCGTCTTTTGAAAACATGTTAGAGAACATTAGCCAGCATGGATGTAAAACAGGAGGCACTAGTTCAATTAGAAGCGCCACAAGTGAATACTTCGTCAACACTTCTCACTATATCTCAAATGACTCATCCATCATTCAGAGTTATTTAAGTAAGGTAAGTAAAACGTTACCAAAGGCAGTGTGTGTTTGACTTCTTTGTACTGCAAAAGCTCCCACCATATGCATCGAAAAGCTGGAGTTGTGTTTGTTATTTTTTGGAGTTAAATAATAACTGCAATTATGTAAACTTATGTATATAAGTGCAACTGTAAGGCTTTTGAAAAAGAAACCGCCAAAAAGATATCAGTCTCCTGAGTTTCTCTTTTCTCTCCAGTGATCTGATGAGTATCTTCCACAATATGAAATCTAAATTCGACTACATGTTTCAGTTGGAAATTATTTGATCCTCGTATAGTCAATACGCTTCGCCGCTACGTATGTTTCCTAAGAAAAATCAGACTGGTTGGCGCCCTTGTGGTGACTACAGAGTCCTAAATAAGCAAGCCGTACAAGACAGATACCCAGTACCACGCGTTCAAAACTTTACCAGTAGTCTGTGAGGCACAATATTTGTCTGTCTGTCTGTTTTCGACATAGAACTTTGCACATATGTGCGGAAGTTCAAGTCGCCACACTCTGTGTAGCACGCAGAGCAAGAGAAGAAAGTAGAAGAAAAGCATAATAGAAACAGTGAGCAGAGGTGTGAGACAAAGGAGGAGTAATAACGAAGAACAAAACAGTTTCATTGGAGATCATAAGTCACAAGGAGTGGATGCATCTGCGCTAGCCACTGAGAACGATTTTGAGCCATGTCACCAATTGTTTCCAACCATAGATTTTTACCGTCCCGAGGACCCCAGCCTGGAAGTCTACACCTTTCTACGTGGCTTAGACCAACTGTTGTGGATTTCATTGACTGGTGCCAAGTTTTTGTTTGATCGCCGCTAGCTTTTTTCCAGTCTGACCCTATATCCGCTAACATTGCTCGTCGAGGGAGGCGATGGCTTGGCATGCATACGTAACACATGTCCTAACCATCTCAGTCTTTGTAGCTTCACGACTTCGTCGATTGATTTCCCCTGTTTACCTAGAACTCTACGCCTAACCTCAATGTTGCTCACCTTATTATGCCACTTTACACGGGAAATAGAGCGCAGGCGCAATATTTACTAAAAAAGACTATCCCAATATTTCATCACCACTCCATTTGGACTATAGATGAGATTGTGTGAATACCATTTGACCTTCCGAACGCATATGTTCCGAAAGTCGGAACGCTGCACAAACTTCTCAAAGATTTATGGATGACTTGTTGTGGGAATCACTGTTTGCCAAAGCGTACATGGATGACCTACATATCGCTAGTCCGGACTTAAACACACGCGAAGACCAATAGCGTTAGAATCAATCAGATTAAGCGCGTTTTGGGAGCAGAAACAACAGAGTTCCTGGCAGCACTGGGATCACACCGATGTCAAAAGAGATGAATACCATCAGGCAATTATCCCTCATCTAATTCCTGCCCCACTCAACTCCTAAATGTTTTGGGGTAGATCAACTCCTATCGATATTCTACTTTTAATTACGCACAGAATATGCATATTAGGGGAAAACCAAGAGTTTCAGTTTTCAGAAGAGATATCTAATGCAATTGCACAGCTGAAAGATGCGCTAGCGAAAGCTGCAACCTTAAATATCTTGATATAGATATGTTCCTCGTTCCTTAGTGGTAGATCCACCCGATAAAGTTATACGAGCATCTGTAAATCAACTGGTTTACAATGGCTGGGAACCGATAGCACTTTTGAATTGGCTCTCTGATTTGAGTGGAACTAGGCACACCATAGATGAGCTTTGTCAGCAACGAGTGGAACATCCGTCCAGGTGATTAGATCCCTTTGCTCTGGGTAGCGCAAGGTCTACTGTTCCAACCATGTGTGGTTACCAACGGCTAATACCCATCAATCTGCATATGCTTCGGTGGGGAAGAGGGTAACACACCACTATAAATACTAATGAATTAAAGTATTAAATTAATGCGAATAAATTAGTAAGCAGAGGACAGGAACAACCAACCCAAACGAATTATGAACTTACCCTCCAGCAGGTGTAATCAAACCACTAGCATCCACTTGTCGTGGAATTGTGGAAAGCATTTTTTGTGTTTCACTCTCGGCGAGTGCAGCTGCAGCTTGATCCGCTTCGTCGCCGTCCTCACCATCTGTATCCATATCTTGATCATCATCTTCTTCACCTTCAGACTCTTCGTCGGATTCCAGTTCACCCCAATAGGTGATATTTCCATGAGCTAATTTTATTCAGTGAATTGTTCGAGGATTTCGAGGAAAAGATAACAAGAACAACAATAACAGAATGGAATCAGATGGCGTTTTCATTTAAAAAGTGGAGAATACTAGGTTTTTTTTACTGTTCCTTAACGCTCTAGTGGAACATAGGGAGCCTTCAAGCTAGATTGCTTGAAGTTTCGGTAGCAGAGGTGTCTCATACCCAACCACCTTCCCTCTTTATCAATCTTATTACTGTCTTAAAGAGGTGAAGGAGTGTGTTGGCCGGAGATCGAACCCCGGACCATATGAGGCGTGGTTGGGAAGCATTCTACTTCTGTGCCACTGAGGCACGGAGAATACTAAAGGCAATCAATAATGCTGCAGGAATAATCTGCACTAAGTCCAAGTTTAAAGATAAGGAGTGAAGTGGTTCAACTAACTGCTGACAAAATCTTAACATAGATACTATAAGCGGTGACATTTAAGCTATCATGGCCAAAATCACGGTGGCGTTCCACAGCCGGCCAAAATTCAAATGACAAAAACAGTCGCGTAATCGTTAAAAAATGCATTGAGACACATTGTACACACGGCGTTACACTGAATAATTATGTTGTATGAATGTCTCCATGTCTGTCTGCATTCAACAGAGAACTTGGCACCGAAGTGCACCAGTTCCAGTTGCCACGTTCCAAATAGCACACAAAGGTAGACAAGAAGATGAGTGAAGAGAATCAATAGAGTTTGACAAGTATAAGAGTGAAACAGAATGGGTAATGGTAGAGAGGAATATGAAAGATTACAGAGACTGAATACATCTGCGCTAGCCATTGACAACGATTTTGAGCCATGTCGCCTATTCTCTCCAGCCATTGATTCCTAGAGTCAGTCCCGAGGGCCCCAACCCGGAAGTCTGCGTCTCCCTCCCTACCTGACTCAGTTCCACTGTCAAGGATTTCATGGATTGATGCTATGTTTTGTTTGGCCACCACTGGCTCTTTTCCAACCTGCACCTATATCAGCTAGCAATGCCCGTCGGGAGAGGCGATGGTTAGGCATGCGCACCACGTCACCTAGCCATCTCAGTCTATGTAACTGTATAGCCTCGTCGATTGATTTTCCCTGTTTGACCAACACTCTACGCCTAACGTCAACATTACTCACCTTATTAAACCACCACCTAACGTGAGACAGAGATCGCAGACATCTATGATCGAAAGGAGTCAACCTTTTCATGTCTTCAACTCGTATTGGCCATGTTTCAGAGCCATAGACAAGGACGGAGCGAACTGCTGAGCAGTACACACGTCCCTTTGTTGATGGCCGGATGTCACGCCTACGCCAGAGATGGTGTAAGTCAGCGAAAGCAGCTTGAGCTTTTTGGATCGGTGCTGAGATTTCATCGCCAATCAGTCCGTTGGTGCTAATACAACTTCCCAAATAGGTGAAGTCACCATCCAGCAATTAAATACTGATTAAATGCCCAGACATCGTCGAAGCATCTGCACAAGAAGCCGATATGTCAACCTAAGACCGAGCACTTCAGTCCAATCAATCGACGGGAAAATCTAAAATTCAATTAAAGTTAGTTATTTTAGTTAGTCAGGCAGATAGGCAATATGCTCCTGTCAAATGCAAGATGATGTTGCAGTACTGGAATACACCAACTCCTAGCTTAACGATAGGGTGCAGCGTGCTGACCACTGTCTCTCGCTTTAGATGGTATAGTATGGTGAGAAATATTAAGGCTAGGCGTCGGTTGGTTAGGTAAGCACAGATAGTTAATCGATGAGGTTGTGAAGTTGCATCGATTGATACAGTTAGGACAATTGTTACGCATTCCTAGTTATTGCACTTTTCTCAACGGCCAATATATTAGCTGAAATAAAAATCGATCAAGTTGGAAAAGACCTAATGGTGGACAAACCAAAGCATAGAATAAACCGATGAAGTCTTTGACAGCTAGGTGAAGCTACGAAGGGAGGTGTAAGCTTCCAAGTGGGGGTATCCATGGGATTCTAAGGACTAATAGGCAGAGACAATTGGTCATATGGCTCAAAATCACCTGCATTCTTTTTGTGTTTTTTTTCATGTTACTATCCTTTGTCTGTTCATTATCGTTCTTTCAGAACTCCTGTTCATGTCTTCTGTCTACTTCTGTGTGGTACATACATGAAGTATGGCAACTCCAAACCTCTCTATGGGAAGCTCTATATTGAAAATTAATCAGTCAGTCAGAATTCATTTAACCAATAACGGATTTTTGAGGCATACTTATTGTGTGAGATTTGATAATACACTACACACGCAGTTGTCCACAAGTTGAAGTACGTGAAGTGAGATTTGAACCAGGAGAAACAAAATAGCTCAAAAGTCAAGATCATAAACCGAAAAAGGTTAAATCTTTTCACAATATTTAAGTGTTGGTTTGCAGGGATTTGGTTGATTGGTTACAGGATTTCATCATGAGCTGATATTGGTTAGAGAATCATTGGAAAACCAGCTGGGAGTACTGGACAGCTGTTTCGTCCTAGCTTGGGTCTCTTCAGTAGTATGTATCCACCACTGGGTTCGAACTCACGACCTTCTGGTTACGAGGCGAGCTCGTAGACCATGATGAAATCCCACAACCAATGAACCAAATCCCTACAAACCAATACTTGAATATCAATGATGCTCACTGGCGACTGGCCCTATTTAGGTGGGTAGTTACTTGGAGTTCCAGTGAGAAGCTGTGACCAGTAAGGTACAGCAGGTCGGGTGTGAGGACAAATACTCGCCACCGAAGACATTGGCTAGCGGTTGAGCTATGTCGTGAATTGGCAGAAGTTAGAATTCATGGGCCGTTGGATCGGGTCCCAGTGGCTAAATGGTATACGAGCTCGCCCTGTAATCAAAAGGTCCTGGGTTCGAATCCCGGTGGGTGCGTACTGATGAAGAGCCTCAAACTAGGACGAAACAGCTGTCCAGTACTCCCAGCTGGTTTTCCAATGGTCCTCTAACCAATGTCAGCTCACGATGAAATCTTTTCACAATGATTAGATTGCAACTGATGTTAATATATATCCAAAATATAAGCCGAATGGTTTTTTTTCAGTTTAAAGTCTCATATACAGATTAGAAAACATTAAGTAAACACGAGAGAGAAAATAAAATAAAAAATAATCTTCAGAGCTCAACCCATTAAACTTACCAATCTGTTCATCAGCATCTTCAAAAGTGGACGGTGGAGGTGGTGGCGGTGGTACACCAGCCATATTTCCACCATTACCGAATACATCACCGTAAACAGGACGTCCAAGCTCATCAACTGGAGGTTTACCCCATCCACCAGGATGATAACCAAATGCACAGCCATCTGGTATAGGTGCATTCAATCCAGGGATTTTTAAATTTGGATAAGATGGTGGTGGACCATATCGTTGCATAGCTATTAGCCATGGTGGAGGATATCGTTCAGCACCCTTTATTTGTATAGGTTATTAAGGAAATATTATTTATTAGACTTTGTTATACAGGAAAAAGATAAATCATTAAAGTTGTCATTCTGAACACAGTTGATTAAGCCTTAATAAGACAGTGTAATGCATATGTGTGTAAAACTTGGGCACTGTGGTAGTAAGTAATTCCATATTAGTTTGTTTATTAGATATATAACACAGTCAGTGAAACAGTATTATTTACTGGATGACAGAGTTTCGAACAAAATTTATCGTGGTTCATAATCATATCAATTGTAATCACACGACTTTGAAACTTGAGTATTATAGTTTTGTTTGTCTTCTCCTATTTGTCGTTGGGGTAGTAGAATTTTCAAGATATCTGGGAAAGGTGTTGAATCATTCCTATTACATGTATTTGCAGTTGATTCGATAAACAAAGCTTCTGTTAATGCTCTCCAGTGACTGGCTATGGGACAAAGTTGACCGTAATGCTAGTGAGAAGTCATGACCAATAAGGTCCAATAGGTGGGGGATGTGAGGATAAATACTCGCTGATGATATCGACTGCTAGTTGTGCTAAATTCATAAAGACGTAAAAGCTGAAACCCATGGGCTGGTTAGTGGGATGGGTCCCAGCGGTTGGATGGTCTAGATGCTTGACTTGTAACCGTAAGGTCCTGGGTTCGAATCCCATCGGGTACATACTGCTACTGAAGACTCGGTCACAAGCACAAGAACGAAATAGTTGTCCAGCGCTTCCAGATGAATTTCAATGGTTCTCTAACTGACATGTGGGCTCCTAGCATGGGTGGTTCAACGATTTTCGAGTCTCATTTAGGAGGAACACCATCACTCACTGAGAATTTCAGGTGCGCCCGACTGACGAAATTCAATTAGGATGAAGCAGGTATCCTGAATTCCACTGTTAGTGATCAACAACTAAATAATACTGCAAGGAACTGTTATCGATACAAAAAACTGAATGCTGCATACAAGACAAACTACCCATCAAAGAAAAGTTTGAGAGAGTAATCTGACAATATTTTCTTAATGGTGATGGATTGGATTATATAAAACACTGTACGCGGGGAAGGAGAAGATGGGAATACGTTGGACCGATAACAAGATTCCACAAGATCTGAAACTTCACGGACGAAACTTCGTGGTCATTGTGAAGAGAGAGGGGATAAAGACAATAAACTAAATACCAACAACAAGCATCGGTCACTATGGACGGGAGAAAATTTGGAAGAGATTACCTCCTGCACTTATCTAGGAAGCATTCTTTCAACTACAAATGACAGAACAGATGAGGGCGTAAAAGTCATTGAAGATCGGAAAAGCAACACAAACCATCATCACTCTGAAATCAACTGGAAAATCTGCTCCACTCACTATAAAGGACAAGATTAGGATTTTCAACACTAATGTTAAGTTAGTGGCATTGGTGGCACAGTGGTGTAGAATGCTCGCCAACTATACGTCTCATGTGGTTCGGGGTTCGATCCCCGGCCGACGCACTCTTTTACCTCTCTAAGCCGGTAATTAGATTAATAAAGAGGAAAGGTTGGGCGGCATAAAGGCTAACAACCTTACCCTCTAAAAAATAAATACCACAGCTACCGAAACTTTAAAATGCTGTAGCTTGAAGGAGCCCTATGTTCCCAGTGAGAACGTAAAGGAATAAAATACTGAATAAGAAAAAATATATATATATATATATATATAAAGTCAGTCAGTTTTCCTATATGAGTCAGGAGCTTAGCCGACACATCACCAAAAGCATTTCCAACAGACGACTGCAGACTTTTATCAACTGCCGCCTTTTGTGGTTCCATACTGAAGATCACATGACCCACCGGGAAGAATTAGCAACAAGAAACTCTGGTAACGAACCAATCAAGAACCTATTGTTTAACAATTATCTCGGAGAAAATGGAGACGGATCGGAGATATGCTGAGGAGACTGTTGGGTGACATAGCGAGCTACGCCATCACTCGAGTGGGAAATGACAAGTTGGACCTTCACGGACATGACATGGAGGATATCGTGTGTGAAGGAGATGAGAGCTTATGGGCGGTTGTGGGGCCAACTCAAGAAGACAGAGTGAGATGGAAATGTACTATGGAAGCGCTATGTTCCGTTCGGAACCCAAAGAAGTAATAATAATAATAATAAATCTGACAACAACTACCAGTTAACACAAAAGCTTAACTCTCGAAAATTAAAAATTTTTAAAGGTCCACCATTACTTTATAAAAGTTGTCAAAAAAAAAATAAGAAGAACACGAGCAGTCTACTACAGCGTTACAATATATGATAAAATTTTAAAACTTACAGAACCAGACGGTAGGCCAAGAGCATTTCGTAATTCATCTGACATATTACCAGGTTTCTTTTCTTTTAATTTTACTTCGAATTCTTTGCCTTCATAGTAAAGATCTCCATGAATTGATAATTTAGGCTTTGTTTGATATTTAAAGAAGGCATCATGCAATTTGTGATAATCGATATCCACTTTTCCCACCTTGGGTCGAATTTTCTCTCGCATTTTAGTTTTCAGTGTTTTATCCGCATCCTAGAAGTTAAATTATACGATGCATGATAATAATTAATTTGAACACTTGTTGTATAATTGGTATAGTTCAAAAAAAAAACATAAAACATCAAAAGAAGTCTTTTTTAAAAGACGTTGCCTTCCATTTAACCCTGTTTAACTGTAATAATAAGGCATTAAGACTTAGCTTTGAAGGAACAGAAAGCATATTGGGAATTACACAAGCACATAATTTAAACAGGACTCACCTTATCTTGTACAGTCTGTCTCATTTCCATTATTCCTGTGCGAGCAATGAACTCCGGTAAACGAAATGGAGGTTTCTCAAAACCACGTTTCCCTTGTAAATACTTTCGTTTAGCACACCAATGTTTAGGAACTGGTACAGTATTACGATAAGCTTTTAAATAGGCTAGTAAAAGTGGATCTTTAGCACAAACATCCCACATTTCAATGACATCAGGACGAGCTACCATTTGTTTAAGTGCAGCAACACTTGGACGATTAAGACGCTTTAATTTTTTCTTGCTTAGTATTTCTACTCCACCATTTGCAGAATCTCCAGAGCTGATTTTTAGTCGTGCAGTGTTATTCGAATCTGGATCTTGATTTCCAGAACGTCGCCTAGCCTCATTTACAGAAGCTTCTTCGGCTAAAAGTGCTGCAGTACGTGCTTTTAAGTTTATATCAGTATGAGATACTGGTTTAGCAGGAACAGCACTATCATCCTCATCATCCGGCAACTGGAAAAATAATAAAATAGTATGAATAAATGTCTCTCTAAAAATACATTGGACTATATTGAACAGTAATATAGAACTTAGCGCAGAAGTGCAGCAATGTAAGTACGTCACTATACTTCATGTAGCACACAAAGGAACATAGAGGAGAGAAAAAACGGATTCAAAAGAACCACAACTAGCTGATTTATTTTTATTTTTTTCATTTTTATTTTTTGGTTAGAGCTTGATTCCACACTGTATTTTTTGGTACAAGTATGGAATTTTCAGCGTGGATATCGGTAGCCCAAAATTCGCAGGCCAACCATAGATATCAGGTGTGCGTCGGAAGGGGTTCGAACCTCGGACCATGTGCATGGTCGGCGAGAGTCCTAACCACTGTGCCACCGACGCACACCGGAGCAAAAATTGTCACATAGAAAAACATAAGGGTCCAATGAATATGGGAAATTACAAAAAGTGAATGCATCTGCATCACCGAGGACGATTTTCAGCAGCCATTCCACCGATACCCTCCAGCCATTGGTGCTTAGAACCCTGAGGACTTGAACCTTGCAATCAATCCCCGCTACACACCTCAAATTAATTGTCTAAGACTACATGGACCAATGAAAAGTTTTTTAGTTTGATCACCTCTTACTCTTTCCCAACTCAACCCTACGTCAGCTAACACTACTCGTTGAAGAAGGCAGTAGTTCAGCACCTGCAACTCGTATCTTAGCCATCTCAATTATCGTAGCCTAACAACTTTATTGATTAACTCCCCTTACTTGCCTAACACTGCGCATAACTACTCAACATATTATACCACTTAAAACGGGAAGAGCTCAAAAATCTGTGTGGCTAAAGACAGCTAGCCTCTTCATATCTTCCTCTTTCAATGAGGAATCTATCATCCGATTGTCTCAAAAAGGAAAGATCTTGTCTATTGATGAGTACATATAAAAAGGTATGCATTCCCATGTAATAACACTTCAGATTGTAGCTAAAATGTAACGGTAGTTCATGTATAGCAAGACATTCTTCAGAAAATATTTCCAAATGCCTGTTAAGTTAGTTTTACAACGAACAAAAATCATGAGAAAGAAAACCTTACAAAACTATAAGCTTAAAAGAAAAAAATTTAAAGTAGAGCTTCGCAAAAGTGTCTATCAACGAAAAGACACAAGTAAATACAACAATGAGCTTGAACCCTACCCCCCAGAACAGTTTTTTAAAGCATTTTCCTCAAGGTATTTCAGGCGTCAACCTGAAACTATAAATGGTGCATAAAATTAACAATACGAATGAAGTTATACAATAGCTCAGAGCTAAACACGTTGCATATTAGTAGTAATTTTTAAAAAACAACATGATATACGCTGAATGTAACTCAACTGTAATGAGCACACAGGTTAGAAAACACATGTCGACAAAATAAGATCTGCATAAAGTCAAACCAAATGAAACACGATAATATGAGGACATATTTCACATCAGTGCCTTAGATATCCGAAACCACACATGGTCATCAGGTGATTTAGTAACTTGAAGGATGGAGAAAAGAGGCGTTTCATTAAACACCTCACAATAAGAAGGATTGCATATCTTTAAAGAATCACGTCACTTCTCAATCCTTCAAGTTACTGAATCACCTGGTGAGCATACAATGCAGGATATCTAAGGAGTAGACTCGAAAAATGAGCTCACATTCCGCTACATTTGTTGTACTTGTTTTGTTTAAATTTATTTAAAAAGGAAAAAGTTATATAAGGCTTTTAAAACAAGGCCCAACATAATTTTACTCCAATATCCTTTGTCACAGTTTTACACTTAAAGTAGCAAAAGACAGATAAGGAAGAGCAGAATGAAAAGGAACAGTATTTAAAGTTGTACTAAGAACTAGAAGTAATCATCCAGAGGAGGTAAAAGAAACAACAATTTTTACGACTGAAGAGTTGATAACGCATAGAAAAAACCAGTATAAAGACCTACATTGATCAAACTTTTTCTACCTGATAATCACAAACATAGTACATACCAGTGGTCACTGAAGAAAACTTAATATTAGTGAAGTATGACTAGGTACATAGAGCCCCCAAAGACAAATACCTTGATGCCATGTTCTATAGCCTTCTCGAAGGGTAGAAACTTCAAATGATGCACATCTATGCAGAGTTTTACGCTGAAATATGTTGAAAAGCTCTTGTCATTATTCTGTAAACAAAAATACCTTCCAATGATCCCTAGAACTTACACTAAATCCAACCACATTAACCAATTCATTTTTCCAAATTAAGCATTTATACTTATCACTAACCACAGCTTCTCCATACTTTCGAATGTCATTTCAATCTTAAGGACTGACTGATTGACTGGTTTCAACGTAGGACTTTGCACAGATGTGCAGCAGTTCGAGTTGTCACATTCCATGTAGCGCACAAAGCAAGAGAAGAGATCAAAGAGAGATAATAAACAGAAATGCGAAGCAAAAAGAATAGCAATATGGGGGAACAATAGATTTTTATTAGATATTATAAATCACAAACAGTGAATGCATGTGCCATTGACAACGATTTTGAGCCGCATCATTAATTGTCTCCAGCTATTGGTTCTTATTATCCCGAGAACCACAACCAGCCAAGAAGGCTACACTTGCCTTCGTGACTGGCTTAAACTAACTGTTATGGATTTCGCTTACTAATAAAGCTTTGTTTTGGCTTGACCACCAATAGCTCTTTTCTAACTTGACCCTCCTATGTCAGCTAACATTTCCCGTTGAAGAAGGAGATGGTTAGGAATGCATGCATAACACATGTCCTAACCATCTAAATTGGTGTAAATTCACAAATTTATCGATTGATCTCCCCTGTTTACCTAGAACTCGACGCCTAACCTCAATATTGCTCACCTTATTATGCTACTTCACATGGGATATAGAACGCAGGCACCTATGATCAAAGACAGCTAATACTTTCATGTCTTCCACTCCCAATGGCTAGGTCTCACAGCCATAAAGGAGGGTGGAGCGGACTGATGAGCAGTACACACGCCTTTTGGTCGATAGCCAGCCGGATATCACGTCTACGCCAGAGTCGGTGTAAACTGGCATATGCCTCTGTATCAGTACCGAGATTTCGTCAGAGATCAAGCCGTTGGGGCTGAGAGTACCTCCCAAATAAGTGAAGCGGTCAACGTGCTCTACCACTTCCCTTCCTATTTCTAATCTAGGAGTCGGTGTAGTCCAGTCCTGTAACATCATCTTACATTTGGCGGGAGCGAATAGGACGGCAAACATTCGTAGATCGCAGCTCAAGGTGTTCAGAAGACTCTGCATTTCGTCACCGTCCTCACCTAGGAGCAGGACTATATCATCTACATACTCTAAGTCAACGAGATTATTCATATCCTGGTAACAAGTCAATCCCTGAGTCTCTGAAGTTAGTTAGGGTTAATTCCATTAGTACATCTATGATGAAATTGAGCAGAAACGGGGATAGTGGGCATCCCTGACGGACACCATTAGTTGTCACAACTTCAGATGACAACTGACCGTAAGCCCTCACCTGGCTGCATGAGTTCGAGTACAGTGCCTTGATCAGTGCAATGCATTTTATCGGCATTCCCTTTACGGTCAAGCACTGCCAGAGAACCTCTCGGCCAACAAAATCGAATGTCGCAATTAGGTCGGTAAAAACGACGATCGTTGGACGCCAGTAAGTATGGCTATGTTCTAGAATCTATTGAAGGGTGAAGATATAATCAATACACCATCTTCCTGGTCTAAAGCCTCCCTGGTTCTCTCGTGCTTGTTCCTCCTGAGCAACACAGTCTACGCGTGATTATTGAGCCTAGGACTTTAGATACTATATCAGTCAGGCTAATCCCTCTGTGATTATCACAAGAAGACTTGTCTCCCTTTGTGTATGTCGGGTTAATCAACTACTTACACCAGTCCGACGGGGCTATCTGTGATTCTCAGACGGGCAAAGTTAAATTATCATAGCCAAAACTGCAGTGACCTAGAATGACCGATCAGAATTCGGATGCAATAAAGTAGCATAATCGTTAAAAAATGTACTAAAAAACATTGCAAACATGATATTATACTATGTAGTTGTCCCTTATGTGTTGTAAGAATTTCTCGCAGTCACCATACAAATGATCTATAGAGGAATCATACCATGTGCGACAGATGCATTCATCCAGCTGACTAGGTTATGGTACTTCAACATCCATTATTTTTCTGAGTTTTCTTTGACCTAACTTGAACCCTTAACTCTAATCTAAAAAGCCACAACCCCTAATAATATAAATTTACAGAAAAAGTACTTAGAGAATAAATGAAGTACTGTACCTGCCTTCTCCCATTCAAGAAAGGCAGACATGATTTTATTTGGAGCGACCTTACCTGTATCTGATTGGCTCTTAATGGTCACATCATGAAAGACCTTGGTTTTGTCTATGACACTAACTTTGCTCTCAGACATTGCTTAATACCTTAGTTAACGTAGACAGTAAACTGTCTCCAACGTCCCCAAACACCTTTGGAGTTATTCTATCAGGTCCCGCTGCCATGCCTGGTTTCAGACCAGTGACGGCTCTTCTAACATCAGTTAGGGACCGAAGACAGGTGTTTATATCCCATTCAGGTGCTGCGTGCTCATTAAGTTAGGCGTCACTGTAAATCAGTTCAACTAGTCCTTGAAATTTTCTTTCAAACGTTCCAGTCGTCTATCCTGAGCTAATTATGGAGCCCATTGGTCTCGAAGATTGTCTCACTTGTCATTTGCCTTTTGCCAACTGTTTCCCTGATAAGTCTATATAGTTGTTTGGTGCTACCTACCACTGATGCTTTCTCCGCCCACTACTCTTCACGGTCGTTGCGAAGACTTCTTGTCAGTTTGCGTTTAAACAGCTTTCCCTCCCCACTATATTCGGAGCTCGCCGAAATCAGTTGTTGAATAGTGCTACTAATGTTCTACTCTCTTTTGAAACACCTCATAATGCAGAATGAAGTTGGCGAGTAAAACTCAAAGTAATGCGACTGGAAAACAGTTCCTCGTATTCCTTATCTACTCAGAAAACAATACGGAAAGAATTTACTCCACTACTGTACCACAAGAATATCACTTGTAATTATCGAAATCCAAGTTTTCAACAAACAGGTGTCACGATTTTCAGCTAGTTATTATCTCGGAAGATTAACTGAAGCAAAGAGAAACGTTTTGCTCTACGTAATTATAGAGAGCTTAAGGTCCTAACAAAGCAGAGATAAGCTGAACAACAGTAAAACGGAATCATCAGTAATTACCACAGTCTGAATAAGCAACACGAACGTAGTGCAGTGAAATTAAACAGAGTATCACACAACTGATGATCTAAGACATTAAATTCCTGGTTAACTAATACATACAGAAAGTCAAGTCATAAACTCTTGGAACCGACTCCCAGAAGAAGTGGTGTCTGCAACCCCAACTGATTCATTCAAGAAGGGTTTGGACAACCACAGAAATCTACTAGAAAAGGATTAACATAAGCTTCAAGCCTTCTATCCTCAACCAATAAATCTGAATCTGAATTATGGACGACCGCCCATGATGCCAAAACCCACTTACCTTAAAACGTTCAAATGGACCCGTATATTCAAATTCGATTATTTCATCTTCTGGTTCAGGATCACTTTCTTCGTTTTCATGATTTTTAATGTCATTCGAAAGCCCATTTACAGGCTGCGGTTGATTTCTAAGTTCTCTACGTCTCTTATGAGCTGCTTTTTTCCTCAATTTTTTCTTCTTATTTCTTTCTTGTTGTCTATTTATCCCATATGTGAAATTAATAGCCTCAAATGAAGTCTCATTTGTCTTAGAAACTGCCAACGCCATACCTCTGTAGCGCGAAATTCAGATACACCGCTGCGCCGCATTCAAAATTCATTTCTCCGTATTTAGCGGTGCGATTTCTTCCATCAGTATGTGAATGTTTTCTAACCGTTTTGAAATACTTTTAATACACTAAAGTATTGAAATGACGTGTTTGTGCATTGTATTTGTAGTAAGCCTAAACGAATATGAGTGATTAGGTATAACAAGTCATATGCATTTGCAGCATGTCAGTGCCTGGACGTGTTTGGAATCAACGAAAGTGAAAGGTTTGGAACACTTCAGTAAGTATTGAAAACCTTTAACCGGTGACAATGTGCGTAGAGATGCCATCGCTCAGTTTACTATCATAATTAATGTTGAGTATGTGTGCACCACTCTTATTTCTAGCCTTCGTCTGGAAACCTGTCAGAATTTATGTGTCATTTATGGGTTAATTTCGGCACTTTTCGAATATAGTGAGAACCCAGGGTTGGATCTTACTTTCCTCGTGGGACCATACTGGTAAGGCTCTGCTACACCTGCTTACTGACAATTATTTTGCGTGCATTCTGCCTCGAAAATATATCATTAGGCCTACTTCGATAAGATTGTTTGATAGTTGATGATCAGCGTAATGAGTACAGTCCCTCAGTCAGTGATAATTCTGTCCACTACCACTGTCGTAATTAAGTATTACTCTGTGGTTGAATATTTATTCGCACTTAATAGTTGTAAATCGGTTAAATTTGGTCCCCCGTCATTGTTACACTTTAAATCCAGTATTTCAAGCATAACTAATTTTCCAGAATTCGCACGTGCCTTTTGGTTTAAGTTATAATCATTAGCAAACCACTACGTTTGAGTAAACTAAGAAACCTGAATGGCTGATTTTACTCATGTGTACGTAATTTTATTCTGAGCAGATATGCATCGAATCTACGTCAGCCTTTGTGAAGAGTGATGTTTTCAATGGCCGTGTTCCATGAAGTTTTCTGTTATCCTTAATGCTGTGTAATGAGGCTACGAAATCCAGGATTCAATGTTTGAGGGAGATATAACTTCATATTTTCACATTGTTAAATCGCAAATCTACTGGGTGTTAGGACAGCTGACCGAATTTCAGTTTAATGAAAGAACAACCCATTTCATACAACAGTCAGTGCTGCGTTCTTGTTTATTTATGGTCTTTCATGTATAACTTAGTACTTACTGTTGTAAAAAGGTCAATTATCTAACCATCATGTGTTATTGGCGGTAAGCTAAATGACCATATAATTACAAGTCGCCAAATAGAAATACGATGCAGGATTGTAACTTTCAAAGAGAACATCTGAATGACAAAGTGGTAGTACATAATTGCCAGAATACATGACACATTTTGGGCGTGAATGGTGCTTCCTGGATCTAATTTTAGTGTGGTTTCGTAACAACAAATAACATAAAGTTAACTTGAGTCCCGTTTTAGTCCAGGTTAATCAGTAGATTTGCACACGACATATATAGACTCAAATGCTGTACTCTCTCCTGCAAGTCACTTAACCGAAAACAATGCCGAGGAATATTTTGGGAAAAGCTTAGCGGTCATACACAGACAATATGTTCTCCGACTGAAATCAGATATCTAGGCTGTCGGAAAGGTGGCATGAAAGTCAACCCACTCCTTAAGACAAATTGATAACCTATGTTTAAAACTATTTATTGCAACGAGGTAAATTTAATAGGAGCCACCAGTCATGCCAACTTCGTTACCAAAACGCAATCCTCGCCCTCCTACGTATCCTATTCATTCTTGTTCACCTCATCAAGTTCGTTTCCTTTCTTTCCCACGCTAACTAAGATGAGTGTAATAATTTCCGGCAAAATTATCCCCTTTATAATAACTGCCGTCCCTCTTACCTGTCCTTCCTTTCGGTTGTTTCTCAATCCTAATGATTCACTTTGCCATTGTCAGATTTAGGAATGTTGACGATAAGTTGAGATCTCACAGGTGTCCCGTGAAGTGGCTACTCACCGTTGGTTTGTCATGCTTTGTTTTACCCACTTCTTGAAGAGGGGGATCTGATGCTAAATTTTCGATAATACTGTTGTTGATTCTCAGACATTTCAAAGTTGCCTCTGGTTGATTACTCTATAGGTGAACAATTCACGAAAGTCATATGCCCCCAGCATTCCCTCTGAAAATTCTGTGGTATCTTCGATTGTTTGCAGCGATGTGTTAGGCTGGTGGTACGTTGTCAAGCATTCACGTCATTTGACATCATATTACATTCAGTTGATCATCGCCGTGAGACTGCTATTCCGATTCCGATATGTACCCAGTACTTCGGGCGTTTAATTTGGCGCTTCTACTTGCCTTCAAAACTATATACTACTCACTGATTGGGATGAATGACTGTAAATCACTTACATCAACAAGAAGTGCTTTCCAGTACTATTTTTCTTGGTTACCACATAGGGTGTAGGGCCTCAGAAACTCATCATGCTACCGCTTCTAAGATGTAGGAAGTAAATGGGAAATTTGGAAGGATAGGACGAGTAACAAGGTAGGGACTATATGTTTTATTTGTGATTTGTGAGGCTTCCTTTTTCTATTGAATCAGGAGTACCCTTCAATTTATCTAATTCGGTATTCCCCGCTTGTCTTTACCGTGCTTGTAAATATATAGGTTCACGGACACCCTTTCTCTTTCACGATATTAATAATAGTCGGTTGTTAATTTAAATAATTATTTTGACTAGAAGGTTGGTTTCTAAATTGGTGAACTTGTTTCATCCACATTTCATTTTCCATTTTGTTATAGTTGACTGTAGTCTATATATCTCTTTTGTTTTAGGTTGTTCCCAGGATTTCTTCTCTATTCGGTTCAGTCTGTTCATTATCATATCTCGTTTGCTATAAACGGAGATAGAAAATAAATCTCTTCTTCTGAGGAAGTGGATCGTCTAGTAACCAACAAAGGTTACTCGAATTTGATCGACATGACACGGAACTATGATTTCCTCAACTACAGTACTACTTTGACCGGCGTAATATTAGGTCTGAAAACACAACATGTAAATAGATTTGGTCTTGGTTAGCTCATAGGAATAGCAAGTAGGTGCGGGACCTTTCACTTCGCCTTTCAGCTAGTAACCATATATATAAATCTTCATTGAGGGGTGAAAATGCCTCTCTATATAGGAAAACTAGCATATACAAAGGGATTCCCCATGCAGAACATGACAGAGATTCTCACCACAGTCCCTTCTCCACCTGCAGCAGTTTGTGGGATCAGCATGGTGAGAGAGGCTGCAACGAAGCCAGCTCTCTCGTAGTATATGTAACGGGAACTGAATAAACAAGATCCTGACTCTCCCCTTGAATACTTAGCGTACATCTCTCATCGGATGATGGAGAGGAAACGACTTGCCAAAGGGCGGGTGCACCATATGAGTGCGAGCAAAGACCCAGTGGCCAATGTTTCATCACTGACGGGACAACTGGTACAAATACAACTAACGCAGGACGGATGAGGTAGATCATCCAGTATGGCAAGTGCTAAGTCAAAGAATAGACCCAGGCTAACTGCGTTAGCAGGTCAATTCTGTCGGTATCATTGTAGATTTGACCCACACTCGACAAAATACACAAAACCATGCCTGGAAGATTGCCCATTTCATTGTAGAGATAGATTCGCCGACATAGACTTCTTGGTCAGCAGATGGACTGTGCTCAATATCATACCGAAATCAAAGGCCTGGTCGGAACAACAAAAGTCCTCCGTGTCATGCAACAGGCAGCCAATAAAACCCAGGTGGCGAAGTTTTGGCGGAAAACATTGACGCTCGACCTCTGGTTTAAGTAACAGCCCAGTAATGCCCAGTATATACTTCCTGGAAAGGTATGACTTACTTGTAGAAACTTGAAACACACTTAAAAATGATGGAACTTCGTGATATGCAAGTGACAAAGCGAGGGAGCGAAGTTGGTTTAGCCTGTTCTAATGTTCACCGGTACCAATTGAGAATTCGCTTAAGACACTAGCGGCTTTCCTAAACTTCCCAGAAACGAACCCGCAGACGTACAGCCTCTAGCGTTCACTAGGATAAGAAGATGGGACACAGATAAGCTAAAATAAGTGAAAACTGGACTTGACTACATGCTTCATTAGTGGATTACTCACTCATGGAATAGTCAATGGGCTCCGTCATTACTCTTGGAGCCTAAGAATGATCAGAACAGTTGGTGTCGTCGTAGTGAATACAAAGCCCTAATTAGGCCGATCATTCCAGAGAGATACACAGTACCACCCATTCAACGCTTTACTAACAGTCTTCGGAGTGCCTTAATATTTTTT